AATTTACCTCCATGCTTTGCTATATGGCTAGGATCCCTTTTTCACTAGGAAGCTGAAAACGATACCTGGTAGGGCTGACAAAGCAGAGTGCGCTGGCTCTGTTTCACCAGCCCAGTCGATTTCCATATTGGCTGTGGAAGAAGTGGCCTAACTTCCTCAGTGGCCAGTACAGAAGCTAAACTGTCCGGCAAAGCAGCAGTAGTGAGCTTTGCTGCACCAACCTAATAGCCGGAGCAGAGACAATGTTGGCTATGTCTTGGAGACAGTCTGGTGGACTGAACTGAGAGGACTGGCAGGCTGGATGAGGCCAGCAGGCAAAGGTTTCCTAGCCCTGCTGCAGACTGCAAATGTGGAGGGGGAGTGTGACTGCACCTCAATTCTTCCTCCTAGTTAACCTCCATTCCAATGTAGTTGGACATGACAAAAACAGCTGGATCCCTCGACCCGTATGACATCATCAAATTTCACACAACAATCTACACGGAGGTTAGAAGCCGGACAGCTGTGTGCATTCAGATCCTAGATAGTTGGACAATTATGTGGCCATTTAATATTTGCTGAAAACGACCACACAAAACACTTAGTACAAGGGTAATGACATCTGCATCAACTTCATAGGCTGAAGGAAAACCCTGGAGTCTGTGGTGGGCAAGTGGCGGGCCCCCATCCCCTACGTGAGCAAAACTCCAGAACCACTTTGGGTTTTTACACAAAGGCACCACCCGACCTGAACTTCATTGATTGGTTTTAGGATATAGCAATCTTCCAGGTGCTAGACCGGAGAGTGTTAGAATCTCTAAAACCATGGATCAAGTTGTAACTGGTAATTCCCAAAGCTGCCTGATTGATTCTGAGTATTCCACACTTTATTATGGATGGAAATTTTCCAGTTACCCTTATGAAATTGTCCTCTGGTCTTAGCATTTATTAATCTATTATTCCTTTAATCAACTCAGTAACGTTTTTTTTAAAGAGCTGATGATTGAATAATCTGTATTTTATTAGAATCAGCTGAAACTTTGCACTTTAATGTCGAGATTTATGAGGCTGTTTTATGAGAGTATATTCTGTTTTGCTTTTAATGTTATTTAATATCTATTTGTTTTATATTACTTTGCATAACTGAATTTTTAATTCCTCTCTGTCTCTTAAGTCATTAGTCACCGGAACAAGGGTTCTGCTTTGTTTGTAAATCATTATATGCCTGGGTGATGTCATTAGTGGTCAGGAAGGGGGGGGGGAGAGAGAGAGAGACAGAAAGTAGCAGCAGCACAGAGGTGAGCTGATTGGATGGGTCAGGTATGCAGAAGGACAGTAAGACACCTGTGAGCTATCCCCTTTTCCAGCCATCTCTCCATGCACTGGGTCCTGGGCTGTTTGATGCTCGCATGCACCCACACCCTAGACTTACGGACCACACTCATTCTTACAGAAAGACATCACCACCTCCCGCTCTTGCACACACTCCTATGTACATTCCCACACCCAAACGCGTACACAATCAGCACTGCCAGCCCCCTGCACTCCAGCACAGGAGTGGGGCTGGCTAGAAACAATGCCTTTTACTTTGCAGAAATATTCTGTGCCAAGTAAAAGGCAAAATTTCCAGCTCCAGTGCTGACGTGGAAATCTGTGCAAAAAAAAAAAAAAGGGGGGGGGAGGCAGTGTTCAGGATAGGCCAGCACACACACTTTATTTCAGATTGATCGGTTACAGCCAATAGAAACAAAATATAGCTTTGTGTTAGGGTTGCCATTTTCTTTTGCAAAGTTTTTGAACCATTCTTTAGGAAATTCAGCAAAATCTAGACTTCCGGCATGGGTTGCCCTAAGTCCGGATTTTCCTAGACACTGTTTCTGACTGTCGTATTCCGGCTATGTCCAGCTGGGAAATTCTGGGTGTATGGCAGCCCTGTTTGTGTGTACAAATAAGGATTTCTCTCCCCCTGTTTTATTCTTTGAGTAGCAGAATATAACAAACCCAACAGAAGTTTGCCATAGACTTTGTGAATCTGACAAATACAACTCCAGAGTCTCTGGAGTTGCACACTGAACTCACAGTTCAGATTTATTGACCTTAGCCATCATATTTAACACGCCAATCGAAGTCTTCCAAAAGGCCTGCCCGCTGCAATCTCTCCTCCTGCCTAAATGCTGTGCAAAAACAGGACCCCGGGGGAATCTGTGAAGGTTTACTGCAGTGGGTTGCTGCTTTAAGCATACTAATCCGATCGGTTTCAAACATTGTTTTCCCATACAGTGTCCGATTTAGTCGGAATCCAACATTCTCTAGCTTTCACAATTCAATAAAAGCTGTGATAGTAGTTATTTGTTACTTTATACCAGAAAATGGTCCCATTCTTTTTTCATATAAAAATAATAATACTGTAATTGTAAAAACAATACAAACAACACTTTTTAAAAATTTTGACAGAGAGAAGAGGGGAGGGAATAGGGATACAGAATGACACAAACAAGTCCATATATGGAATTGAGATGTCTAAATATTTCCCTTCTGATTGCTGTTTGCAAAAAGCCACTTTTTCGCATGTCCCAACTTGGTAAGGTTCTAAGTTCATTGCACAACTTGAATGTTATTTCTTGCCAGTACTGGAGCAGCAATTGCTTCGCCACCGTTAAGTGCCCTCATTAACCAGCTGTGCTAAAGAACACCGGAATGCAATTCAACGGCATATTCACATCCATCAGGATTTACCCAGCACCTTATAACCTCGGACCAGAATACAGCCATTCTGAAGCAAATATCCTGACTGTGTCCACCAGCATCCTCTAGCGAAACTTGCTGGCATTGCTTCTTCTCCACTAGCAGACCCATTCTATATAGTTCTCAAATGCCTTGGTACTCAAATGCCTTGGTACTCAAACAACCTGGAACCCAAACACTGCAAAACCTGGAAGTAAGTGTTCTGGTTTGCAAACTTTTTTCGGAAGTCGAACGTGCTCCGTTTTGAGTGTTACGCTTCCAATTTCAGTGCCACACTTCCGTTTTGAGTGTTACACTGAGGTTTGTCTGGTTTTGCTATTTATTTTGTGTTTTTGCAGCTTTTTGTCTTGTTTTTGTGACTGTGTGGAACCCAGTTCAGCTACTGATTGACTGATTGATTGTGTGACTGCGGTACATTGATTCTTGCTTTCATTTTATGGGTCAATGGTCTCGTTAGATAGTAAAATTCATGTTAAATTGCTGTTTTAAGGGTTGTTTTTAAAAGTCTGGAACGGATTAATCCATTTTGCATTACTTTCTATGGGCAACTTTGCCTTGGTTTTGGAACGCTTTGGTTTTGGAACGGACTTCCAGAACGGATTAAGTTTGAGAACCAAGGTACCACTCTATTCTCATTCTGGTTTAATTAGTGCTACTGCTTATGGAGCCAAAACAGAAACAGCCATGCACAAAAGGGAGGCTATCAGCAGACTTGGGAGGAACTTAAGGCTTGCAGTATTATCAAAAGTGTGGGTGGGTATAGTGATGTTAAATTCTCGAGAATAATCTTTTGGAGAATATTCTCAAGAATATTCTTGATTAATGAGAATATTAGAGAATTTTCATTTAAAATAGAGGAATATTCATTTTAATGCATTGAAAATGATTTACTGCATTGAAAATAATATAATTAGTCAATATACATGTTTATTCATGGGTAAACTTGTTCAGATGGCAACCAAAAACTGTACAGATACTTTTATTCAATGGGGCAATGCAGTGAATTCACATTCTTTGATTTTCTGCCCAAACTTGAAATTGAAAATTCAATGTGAATGACTCACGTTAATCACTAAGCTTGCCACTAACCAATTTACCACCAATTTTGAATTCTAATTATGTTGTGTATGTATGAAATGTAGCTTTTAAAGTAAAAAGAATATAAAAAAACCTCAGGTCCACTACATGAATACTTTCTTTAAAAAGCATATCTACATGGTAGAGTATTTTCAGTGCCACACTAATAAAATCAATATAAAGTTTAAAATAAATGCTATTATTTCCAGAAAATATAACACAAATAATCAGTAATGACAAGTTACATAACATCAGAAATGCAAATTATGATCTGCTTAAACAAGCAAGGCAACACACAACATATTTAAATTATAACTGATAAATTGTCACAAGAAATAAATAAAAATATAGAAACACCAGCTGTTTAAATCAAGGCCACCTCACCTGCAGTTACACATAATTGTATAGGCCTAGGTACTTTAAGTGTATAAAGCATTAAAGCTACTTTCTGTAGAATTTTTTTTAAAAAAGAAACAAACCATTATATGGCCAAGGATATAGAATTGCTAAGCATAAGGTCACACCAAAATAGAAAAAAGGCTATTACATATAGTTGAAATACATACGAATTCAAATGTTCATCAAATTAAATGAATAGCATTTTTAAAACTAAATATTTTTTAAAAAATGTTTTCTGTAGCTCACATTTCAGAACTGCCAGTGGTGAATGACACAATGCCCAGTAATGTAAATGGATTAAAAAAATTGTTATTCATTACTTACACTGGCAATATCACACCTTGACTTATTATGTACTAGATTTTTTTAAAATGTGGGTTGTAAAACTGGTTCTTACATTAGAATTGACAGTTTGTGGAGAATATTCTCTGGAGAATTTCTCTGGAGAATATTCTCACCACACATCAGTGTGTGTGTGTGTGTGTGTGTGTGTGCGTGTAGGGACCCTAAGGGGGAAAACAGCCAAGTGAAGACTGACTGTGCTTAGTGTCCCGGGATGCTCACGACTCTCAAAATATGTATTTTTGATCAATATATATATTTTTAAAGCTGCGTGAAAACACTGCTCATTTAAGCACTACTTCACGAATATTCTCCCTTTCAGACTGTAAAAATCTTATTGTACAACTTGTCAGCTTCGGGCAGAGTTTGCAAGGTATTGCCTAAGCACGTTTCAGTTGAAAAGGAGCCAATCTGTGAGCCGTGGGGCCTGGGAGGAATAATCGCAAGGGATCTCCTACCTTTCCCTGGCCTCTGGATATCAAAGCGCGATCCCCTGTGGATCCATTCCAGAAGTGGGAGTCCTGATGCAACCGATTCCACGTTCTCCTGATGAAGGAAACAGAAGGTTCAGTGAGAGAACCCTGATTTGGGAGTAAGCAGTAATCTCTTGAAGAACTACCTTATCGGAACAGGCTGCCAGAGCAACAAAACTTTTAACTAATACAGGAAGATGACGGATGAAGGATCCTGCGTGAGAGGCAGGGAAGGGAAGAACTCCCAGGCTGGGAGGCTGGGAAAAGAAATGGAAGCTCCCAGGTGAGAGCTGGGAGGGCCCATCCCATATTATGTGAGATAAGGGTTAAGATCTACCCCTGATAAAGGGCTCTGTATTTTAATCTCCCCTATTTTCCTTTGATTTCTTACAGTTTTCTTTTCTTGTTTTCTTCTCTATTTTTATTTAGATTGTTTGGTTTTTATTGTATTGTATGTTGAAAACTCAGATATTTTTTTAAAAAACAAACAAACACGTGTGTTGTTTTTTTTTACACTTTCCCCAGGAAATAGAAAATCTAGCAGCCATTCACAGGGTCAGGTTTTCTTTGTGAGCAGAAAACCAGTCACACTGTCTTATAGTAAGGTCTGCTTAGGTATGTTTTCATGATATAACTAAAATGGAAGTTCGCTGGGGCAATGCTCCAGAACCTGGTTTAAACCCCAAGCTTTGTTGCTTACTTACCAAACCACTGGGTGAGACCTGAAAAAGAGTATCTAAAATCACTTCATTTTGAAGCGGCTGTGGGGGAAAGCCTGCCCACTGAGGCTCACAGCTAGGGGTGCAAGAAGGCAGCAGTTCCCATTCTGGTCGGTCTTCATCACAACTGTTTGGCTTTCGCCAAATACGATGTTATTTGCCTTGCTGTCTGCTATTAGACGTAAGATACTCCGAACTCGAACTCAGGACGCAAGGGAGAAATGTGCTAAGAGGAAGGCACGCTTAGCAAATCCACACCGTGATCAACTCCCTCCCGGAAACCAATGTCCCCACTGTGGAAGGACATGTGGATCCAGAATTGGCCTCCACAGTCACTTACGGACTCATTGTTAAAACTATGTTTATGGAAGACAATCTTACTCGGCTATGAGTGATCGCCAAAGAGGAAGAAGATGATGATGAAGAAGAAGAAGAAGAAGATGATGTAGGTGATGTAACTATTTACATAACTCATGCAAGCTTACGTTCATTTCAGTGTAAAAATCAAAACAGTATTATTTTATTGTTTTAATGTTTTCTGTTTTATCATATCATCAGTATTTAAAAACCCGCTGTTGTTAATAAGATACTGTATGCGGACTTAATAAACAACAGTGAGGTGAACGAATATTCGCTGGACTTATTTCCATTCCGACGAACGAATATTCGCTGGGATATTTCCATTCCTGACCAAGGATGAACATACGAACTGCAGCGGTTTCTGCTTCCTTTTGCACTGCAATTCGCCAACATCCTCACTCCTAGCCTGTGGCAATCCAGTTGTGAACCCCAGATACCTGGTGCAAGATTCAGGTTTCGGTACAAGACTCTTAAGACACATTTGAAGGTGATGAAAAGCTGAGGCAGCGGCAAGTTCCCACACTGAGCTCTTCACAGGAAGCTCTCTTCTCCAGCCGCCTTGCACAGAAGCGGCTGTAAAAATTCACCCTGGGCCACGCATGGCTCCTTACCACATGGGTGATGGGTAGGGAAAGGGATGGAGCCCTCCCTACAACAGGCCAACATCCCACCGAAGACATTTCACAGAACTTAAACTTGCTCTGTGGATAAAAGGCAGTGTGGCACTTCTGTGCCTCGGGTCATGCTGAACTTGCGATGTGTACACAGAGGACATATGGCATGCAGACCGTCTGGCCTTAAAATGAGTCAGATCATCGGTCAAATTAGCTTAGCACTTACAGACGCCGCAGGGCAGTGACTCTCCAAGATCTCTGGCAGAAGACTTCCCCAGCGTTCATCCCTAATCTCCTTGTAACTGGAGAATGCTGGAGACTGAATAAGAGATGTTCTGCATGCAAACTATGTACTCAACCACTGAACCAACAGCGTCTCAGTTCATGCCCCAAACCTGCACTTTCATATACTACTGCTGCCCTCCGCCACCAGTTCCTAGAAGCCAACTTTGGGAAAGGGGTCAAAAGTTTCATTTCAGGCACTGAAACACCTGCAGTCAGCACTGGTGTCGTTCAGAGATAAGCATTCAGGACTCCTGGAGTCAAACCGACTGCCCAGACTCTCTGTTGCAGCCTTCTCATTCTGCTCAGCTCAGTGATTCCATAAAGCCCGTTTCTTGAATCTCTGAGAAGGCAGGACCAAATGAGAGGGGCACCAAGTGAAGGGAAAAGACACCAGTTTATCTTTGCCCCACATTCAACAACTCCCTCTCCCTCTCCGAAACACTTTTATGGCTGTTGATTTACAGCACCCCTTGGCTGTTTGGTTGCCGAAAGTGCTGAGGTTACATGAGATTTCCAGGAACAAGGAGCCTCTTCCCGGAATTCTTTCCAAGCAGCAGAAGCAAAAGCCGCAGGAACATGCCGTACACCCAAAATGCTAAAAGCAGGAAGGGGGTTGCTTGGCTGGGGGAGAAATTGACAGCTGGGATCTATGGTTGCCTGGAACAGTGATCTGGCAGCCAGTGTGGCACTGGGTGCAAAAAATGGGCTGCCCAAGAATGAGATCTTACATGTTTTGAGAACGGAAGGGAGTAGAGGGGCAGTGTCTGCTAGCAATACAGCCGACACATAAATCTGATGATGGTTCTGAGGCCAAGACAGCTGCAAAGGCCTCGCTAGAGTGTTGAAATGCTGTGTCATCCTGGAGCTGAAGTGATGGGCTGCGCTCGCTGCTGGGATCTGAAGTCAGCAGTAACCCAAAGCCTTGGCAAAACCACCAAGAAACAGCCTCACTTTCTTCCCTGAAGCCTGTCACCCAAGAGCCCAAGGAAACATTCTCTGCACTATGCCGAATGATATGAGGTTTTTGTTAAGTCTTTATTTAGGATATTTCTACCCTGCCCTTTAAGGCAAAGTCATCACCGGGAGGGCTTACAGTTAAAATAGTTTTTTTTATTAAAAAACACACACACGCAATTGAATAAACACAACAAAAACATCATATATTGCTTTTATTGTTGTTGGCTGCTCTGAGCCCAGCTTCGGCTGGGGAGGGTGGGATATAAATAAAAAAAATTATTATTATTATTATTATTATTATTAGGAATCAAGAAGATGAAGCTTGGCTGAATAATAACACTAAATTAGGGGTTCTTTAAGATCACACAAGAAGAGGCCATACATACCCCGTGGTGGGGAATTCTCACGTGTGGTATCACCACTAAAATGGGGTCCTAGTGGGTTAGACAGCAGGGCCTCTCTGAGCACAGCCTCTTAGGGCACAGGCAGGTTCATATAGGTTCAGGCAGTCCTCCAAAATTCCCCTCTAAAGGTTAGTACTAGCGGTTAAACTGAAAATGAATAAGTAACCAATGTAACTGGTGCAAAACTGGTGTGATGTGGACAACTGCCTAGTCCCCACAAGCATTGTAGTGGTGGAGCTTTGCATAAGTGGAAGTGTCTGCAGTGCCTTCAAAGGCAATCCTATGTAGAGAGCATTAGAGTACAGTCGTACCTTAGATCTCAAACACCTTGGTACTTGGGTGTTTTGGCTCCCAAATGCCGCAAACCCGGAAGTGTCTATTCCGGTTTGCGAACTATTTTTGGAAGCCAAAAGGTCCGATGGGGCTTCTGCAGCTTCCGATTGGCTGCAGTTCCCTGCAGCCAATCAGAAGCTGGTTTCTGAACATTTTGGAAGTCGAACGGACTTCCGGAACGGATTCTGTACGACTTCCAAGGTACGACTGTAGTTCATTTTGGGATAATCTCTCTTTCTGTGTGTAATTAAGGTCAGGTCCGCTTTTCCCTAGGGCTGGCAATAATTTTTAAAAACCCAGTACATTGTGATCAATGATTACTTTGAAGGAAGAGAATTTCAGGTTCCAAAATTCACTGGGCTTCTACCAGTTTTCATGCTGCAAAAATAAGCCTTCCTACTAACAGCATCCCCTTGAGGGTTGTTTCTCCTGGTCCTGTGGTGGTGCATCTCCACACCCCCCACACCCCTGTACCCCACCTTTCCTCACAGTCACTACATTTCCCCCCAAGGCAGTGCTATCCCCTGGGACAGCTGTGTCGGTAGAGCATGAGACTCTTAATTTCAGGGTTGTGGGTTCGAGCCCCACGTTAGGCAAAAATATTCCTGCATTGCAGGGGTTTGGGCTAGAAGACACTCGTGGTCCAGTCCCCCCAACTCTACAATTCTATTATTCTAAGCTGCAATACAGGCAGAAATTAAACAAATTAGGTTTTTCATCTCACGTGCTGGGGAAAGTTTACCTGTTGCATTGTTGCCTGCCACAAGAGAGAAAAAAGGTGACAAGCCTGGCTCCCTTGAAACATGTGCAGGTACCATATTGGCTCAGCAACCACTGACACACCTGTATGCCTCCTAGGCAAAAGTCCCTCAGCTAAGGACTCATTCTGACTTCCATTTGTCCCGCAATTTCTTCTGTTTGGCCTGTGGTTTCTCAGCACTGGCCCCAGAGGTTTTCCTTTTGTCCTACCGCTTTCCCTGGGGAAACCCGCTGCTTACCGCTGAATCAAACATCAATATGCAGAAAACCCAGCTGATGTTTGCTCCAATTCAGCAGTAAACAGAGAGGCTTCCCTAGGGAAAGCAGAGGAACAAAAGGAAAACTTCTCAGACCCAGCCCTAGAAGTCACAGGCCAAATGGAACAGTGGGGAAGAGCCATGCATTTTGGAGCACACCAGCTTCACTGCCCTAACCTAGGGTTGCCATTATTTTCCTGGCAGGATCGCTTGGACTTTTAACTGGTACACCATCAGTGGAAATTCAGCAGGGGAAGTATGCTGCTTGTCTCATCTCTAAACGTGAATCTTGGAATAATAGTGAATTATTCAAGAAATAAAACTAGGGAAATGTATGCACCAACTCATACAGCTTGAGCATAGAATTTGGAGGAAGAGGCACCAAACTGGCTCCCACATCATAACACTAAGGTTATTTAACACTAAGCTTGTTAAACAAACCACAAGTTGTCGTGCCAGCAATCAAACAAATCATGTCTCCGTTTTTTTCTTCAAAGTTCAGTTTGTTTTGCAGCAGCTGTTACCTCATGCCTGTTTACCTTGGCCACTGTTTGCAGGGGGTGGCCAAACAAACCATGGTTAAAGGAAGCAGCTGGGTTTGCACGCAATGCTAAACCATAGTTAGAACGAGCCAAAGTTCATAAGCCAGCAACAAAGCATAGATTCAGATTGTGGTTTCTTGGTACTAAATAAGCACCCCCTTTGGCGCCATTTTTGGTACACGTGTCAGTGGAAGCACGTGCAAGTGGGAAGGCACCTATATTCAAAACAGAAACCATGTTTTCATTTGCAAATACGTGAATATGCAAGATCAGTCAACACAACCTATTACACAGCTGGACATATCGGTAATTCATTAGAACCCATGGGGCAGGATTCACCTAATGAGTCTGCATCCATTGCACTAGGATTTCCACTTGTGAAAGGGGGCTTCCCCCCCTCACAAAACTGGCTTGGGGTGGGAGTGTCAGGAGAACCCCCCAGAACAGCGAGGGGAGAGGGGATTGTTTCATCTGGCAAGCTACAATGCCTGCACAGACAAAATGTTCATCCTAGCATTCCGTTGAATTCCACCCGGACATACAGCAGCTCCCACACTGTCACACTTCCCCACACAGATGCAAAAGTATGAATCTGCCTTATAGGCAGCAGACCACTAGTCCATTCAGCCCAGTGCCAGCACCGCCAACTAGCATCACCTGCTCAAGGCCTTGAGGGAGAGGTCTTTCCCAGCACGGTTACACAACGTATTTTTCAAGGAAGACACCAGTGATTAAATCTTGGACCTCCTGCATACAAAGCTGTGTTCTTTGGCTGAATTGTGACCCCCTCCGTTCTAGACAAACTTGCGTATGTGCAACCACTCACATTATCAGAGGCATGACAACATGCAAATTCACGGCTGACGTTCGCCTCAAAAGTGCAGCTTCATGCTCTCAGGATCTGTTAGCAGAACAGGGAACCATCTGTGTGCTCCAGATACGTCATTTTCTGCACACTCATTATTAACACTCTTGTGAGTCTTAGCTTTGCATTTTGAATGTTGAAGTTCAGGCCTGGAATAAAGAGACTGTCGCTGTGCATGTGCAGAGTGCCGTTCCCTCACTTCTCAGCAGCCACAGTCCAGCACACAGCTCAGCTTAGGGAGCCCTACTGAGTCCCAACATCCCTCTATTTAAGAATTACCCACTGCCTAAGAAAAGGAACAAGTTCCGTCCTGGAAAGGAGGGATACAAAAACTTTTCGCTTCACCCCAGAGTAATTGCAGGCAGCCCCTTCAGATCATCTGGGTTGGATTCCAGATTAAAGGGAACCTATTTTTTCACCCTCTTTAAGACACCAGCTGCCAGTTCCCAAAGATCGGGGATTACCTTGTAGCAGGGAGCAAAGCTGCGACTTCTCTTCTGACGGGGGCAGGCGAGCCCCTCGCCTGGGGAGCCTCGCTTCCGCAGGCAGGTGCAGCAGAAGACGACCCCCACAGCTCTCCTCCAGCGCAAGCCCCGGGTCTCCTGCATACTGCGGTCCACAAGCGAGAGCCTCCAGGTCATCCTCTTTTAACTGAGCCACCCCATTGGCTGGCCCTGGGACTCCACGGCTGCTCCCCACCTTACTCCGAAGCGACTCGGCACGCAGCTGCGCAGAAGGGGCTCTTTCCACGCCCCCCGATTCCACCTCCCCGCTTGGTCCTCCCATATGCTTCACACTCGGCTAAGATGACAGGGCTGGATGTTCGGAATAGCGACGACTAGCAGGGGACCCATCCGGCGGCACGGCTCGTTCTGTAGCAGCCCCTTCCTCCGGTTTTCTTAAACACACCCACTTCTGTTTTCGTGCTCCCCAGTCCCCGTGCCACAAGCTCGGCCTGGAGGACCCGTCTGGAGAAGAAGGCGACGTCGGCTGTGCGCCCTGCGGGGCAGAATCTGCCTGGGTATCCTTAAGGAGCAGATGCCGTCCAGAGATGCTGAGTGACTCAAAAGCCACATGGTGCCAAGCTATTTCTGTCTGCCTCGAGATTGAGGCTGGCAGGGCCAAGTCAGGCCGAGCACGGACTACAGGCTAGGAGAGTGGGGGGGAGAGAGAGAGAGAGGGCTTCCTTGCCAACCAGGACTTTTTATCAGCTTTTGAAGAAAGACCCAGCTGCTCAGGCAACCCCGAGGCCACTTAGCCGCACATTCGTTCTTCTCCAGTGAGCCCCGTTTGCTTTGGCACAGGGAGGGTTAACAAAGTCTCTCCCAAACCAGGCCTCAGCGGATAAACTTTTAACAAGGGGAACATGCCAGCTTTATCCGGGGAGGTGCTTTTTTTTTATTATGGTTCTTGCAAAAAACAGAAAAGGAAAAGACTGGCTGCATTTCGCTCTCGGCCTTTGGGGCAGCAGGAGGAGGGGTTGGTGTAGCCAAAGAGGGAAGGAAACTATCCTGTCTGAAGGAACACGCGACAAGTCTCCCAGTCTCGAGGCACAATATGGTGATTGTGATTGATGACTTTGCCATAATTAGACAGAGTCAAACTGATTTAAGATTTGAGTGATGCAGGAGTAGAACCTATTCCTTTTAATTAGGTGCAGCGGAGACTTTTTTTAAAAAAAAGAAAGGTGGGAGAGAAGGGGAATACAAGACTTAACGTGGGACAAACAAAAGCTTTGATCTGGGAATCCAAAATGGCTTCCATGAGCTTACGAGGCTTTCTTCCCTCACTTCTGCCCACAGCTAGGGTTTCAGTCCATTACAGGAATTTTTATAATGATGGAGGGGGGTTGCCCCTCCAGCACGTTGTGTGACCCCCCCCCTTTGTTCACACACACACAATGTCTCCTCAAAGCACCACTTAATGCACGACACCACACAATTTCCAATGTTGTTCTGTTTGCGAAGGAAATGGCTACCGAGGGGGAGGGGGAGCTTGAGACATGAGTGGGGGGCAGCCATAATCCCTAAAGTGTGAGCTCAGCTACTCAGTAGCCCCTCTGCCTGAGTGACAATCTCTGGCATCCTGATACCTGAGTGTCAGACAGGTAGCCATTCCAGAAACAATAGCAAACCCAGATCAAGACAAAAAGCTGTGATTAACTTAGCTGGGAAACAGAGACATATAAATATCTCTTTTTATAACACTTGATGCGTGTATGGTGGAGGTCAAGGGAAGCGGGGGGGGGGGGAGGGGAGCCCTGAGGCTCAGGTTTCTGTCGCCAGACCCTCCCAACGTGTGATGTATTTGTGATGTATGCACGATGTAATTTTTGGGGTGTTGTGGGTATCTTTGCAAAACTGATAAAAGTGGGAACCGTCCTTTGTTCTGGGCTTCTTCCTGCTTCTCCCATGTGGTGGAAGTCCTGTCGCAACAGTCGTTTGAATAAAGACCAGGCCTACTGGCTGCTGTTTTTCTCCTACATTCCTGGCCTGTGTCTTTGTTTGGTAATCCAAGTGAGCCCAAGGATTTCCCTATAACCGTCAGCCCAGGTTGCCCACATTCGCACCAGCACTAGGTAAAACAGATCTGCCATTATGCACCTGTCCTGTGGGAAAACAGGAGAACAAAGGCTGCATATTTCCCAAGGAAGTAAAATCTAGTGAACTCAGAGGAAGCTAGGCTGCAATCCTAACTCCCGGCTGGCAGTGGTGCAACTTGACAGGGCAGAGTAGTCCCTGTGGCATCCACGGTCCTGGCCCAGCACTCACACCAACCTGGAGAAGGTGTGGTGTGGGAAGGAGGGAGAATGACCCCTTCTCTGCATCTGCTCCCAGTGGTGACATGGTCTGGATCAGGCTCATTGCCATAACATGATGGGAGGAGGGTCCAGTGGAATCTATGCCAGCCCTGCCCCTGAAAAGCCTCATCTCTGGGGTTTCCCTTAGCTACCAGCAGCAGCACTGGTGGTAGCTTCCACCTGCCATTTTGGAGAGCACATTGGGATGCTCCTTGCTGGCAGGGCTTGCCTGTCACAGCAGAGACCAGTGGAAGCAGACAGGGCTGCGCCAAGGGACATCTCTGCCCCCATACAAACCCCGTCTGGCATAGTAGACGGGGGAGTTTGGATTCCTCTGCCTGTTTTAATGTAATTTGTAAGGCGGCTCCAAGCAGTTTCCAAAGCAAAAGCGTAGTGAACAAAGCTATACGTTTCTCTAGCGTAGAAGAGCAGAAAACCAACACTGAATTACAAAATCACAACAACAGAGCAGGAAAGCAAAAACATAATAATCAAAGGTCAAATAAAAGAAAACAGTCATTACAGATTGCTGGAAAGCTTGTAATGTGGAAGCAGTACAAATTTCCAGGGGAAGGGAATTCCAAGAAGTATCCCTGTAGAGGGTTGGGTTTGCCATGTAATGATGAGCAGGTGCTTCAAACATCGTTTTCCTGCTTATCCGTGTTTCATCTTTCGTTTTAGATGGAAGAAAAACATTCTGCACTGCATCTTACAGGTTTTTGCATGCCTACAGAAATTCTGCAGCAGGAAGGTTTGCAAATGTTTCCCTGCAACTGTTTGCAAACAGCCTGGGCTCCACCTACATCCCTCTCCTTCCCCTGTAAACCATCATAACCCTCTTCTTAAGCGTTCAGTGGAGTTCTGTGTTCTCTCCTCCATGCCGCTAATGTTGTTAAACCAGCGCTGCCTGGAGAAGGAGGGCAGGTGGCAGGAGGTTGTTTAACCCTTCCCTTCCTGTGCCTTTTCCAGCTGCAAACCACCCTCTTCAAGCTGTGTGATAAAGAAGGGAGTGATTTTTGAGGCAGAAAAGGACAAAAGAGGGAAGTTGTATTTTGATTATGTATATTGTTTCATCTGCTCAGAAGCCTGAGACATTTTAAAATACAAAAACAGGTGGAGGAAAATATGTATTTGAAATGAGCAACATGTAGCTTGAGAATGTAGAGAAGCTTTTCTACAGGGAGGGGCAAGAAGAAGAAAACGAAACTCCTAAAGCCTCACCTGGGTGTGGACATTAACCCTGGGAAAAGGAAACCTATTTATTCCTCAGCTGATGATAAAAGGCCAGAAGATAAGTGTCAGAATCAACCTCGAAAAAGTGGCCGGTCTTCTGGCTTTAGAGAAGGAGCTAATACAATCCTTCTGATTATATTAACGCCACTGTTTCCAACAGCTTTCCTGAAGCTAAAAAGAACCACAAGCCTCCATAATGGAATCACCGACAGCAGGTGCCGACAGCAGAAAGGAAGCGGAAGAGGTGGTTCAGAATGCCCTGGGCCTGCATGAGGAAGCAGAAAAACTCTGCAGTGGCTACACAGAGAAGATCCAGGTTACTCTGAAAGCTCTGCATTCCTTCCGAGAGAAAGTGGCAACGGGATTCAAGGAGCTGCATGACTTCCTGTACGACGAGGAGTCGTCTCTTATGGCCAAAACAGACCGAGAGGAAGAGAAACACCTGCGCTTCCTGGAGAACAAGCTGATGGATGTGTCTGAGGCAGCATCCTCTGCTCTGAAACTGGCGGACAACCTCAGTGCAGCCGACAACACCAGCAGACACGACATGCGCATGACCGAGTTACAACTGAAGCAGCTACGGATGCAGATGGCCAGGCACAGCAAAGAGATGAGGTTCTGTGGACCAGATGTGCTGCGTAGCCCACCCCTAAAGTATTCCGTTTGCAGGCAGATGCTGAAGAGAGCGGCACATTGTGCACTGGAGGACCTCACCCTTGATGACAGCAGCGCCCATCCTCACCTGATTGTTTCTGCAGACTTAAAATCGGTCAAGCTGAGCCCTCGCTGCCAGGCAGTTCCAAAGAGCCTATGGCGTTTTCAGCCCTGCCTCTATGTCCTCTGCTCACAGGGCTTCCAGTCAGGTAAGCATTACTGGGAAGTGAGTGTTGGGCAAAAAACCAACTGGGTCCTTGGGGTAGCCAGCTGCCGCGTCAACCGCAAGGCAGTGGAGAACCTCGCTCCTGAAAATGGATATTGGGTCCTCAGGAAAGCACCAAGAAACCGTTTCTACGCCTTGAGCTCAACCCCAGTGCGTCTTGCTCCCAGCCACAGCCCCTCAAAGGTTGGAGTGCTCCTAGACTATGAAAACGGCAAGGTTGGGTTTTACAGTGCAGAGAACATGGTGGAAATCTGCACAATCACAGGTGACTTTCAAGAGGTGCTGCATCCCTTCTTCTGCCCTGGCTTGACACTTGCGGAGGAGGACTGCTATCCTCTGACAATAAACAGTTAGAGGGAAAGGGGATAAACTGGACAGTCTGGAGGGAGAAGGCGAACGGTGAAAAAGCTCAGGAAAATAAATAATAAATAGTGTTAAAGGTTTACAGGTGCATTTCTGTGTTTCTGAAAACTGCCTTGTGCCACAGGAGTACAAGGAGAAATGAATAAAGCTTTGGATAATGCAGCTCTGGTACCAAGGCTTGCATCCTAGCTTACAAATGTCATGGAAACTCATCATCTTGGACTGTAAGCTATGTTGGGATGCAGAAGGGTGACTGAGGGTCTGCACCAAAGACAAAGAAGAAAGAGGAACCTGAAGAATTCTGGGGGAACTGGAAATTACTGGAAAGAGATAAGATGTTATTGTGTTGATTTTGGGTTAAAAGTGCCATTGTGTTATGATCTGTAGCATCTAAGAATCTGATTTATTGGGGGGGAAGTCTCCATGATTATGTTTGCATGTAATAATTTTTAATACTGGTTTACTTACCGCTCTGCTGACATGTCTAGTGTTGGTCTACCATGGAACTTGCTGCACATAACATCTCAAATGGTTGTATATCTGTGAATTTAAAGATCATGTTTCATTCATACGTTCACTTGCATGTGTTTTGCATTACTCATATGGGGTGACACTACTGCATGCTTTAAGCACAGACAACGGTTTAACAGAGCTTATGCCAAGGTATGAGGTTTTATTATGCAGCCTTATCTGTGTCTATTCAAAAGTAAGCCCAGTGAGTTCAACTGGAATTATTCCCTGGTAAGGGTGCATAGGAATGTGTCCACCTATCAGTGTTTCTTAAACTTGGGTCTTCGACTGTTGTTGGACTGCAACTCCCATCATCCTTAGCTAGCAGGACCCAGTGGTCAGAGATGATGGGAGTTGCAATCCAACAACAGCTGGGGACCCAAGTTTGAGAAACACTGATAGGTCTTAAAGTATGTCAACACCAGCCAATGTCTGAGGTGTCAAGAGTCCCAGATATGTTCCTGTGATTGGAGAGATGAGGTTGATAAGAAGCTGGTGCTCACTTGTCCATCCCCCACAGGATAGGAGGGAACCTGCCTACAGGGACCAGATTCCAAACAGGGCGTGGCAGAAGGCATTTCGTCAGGTGCAGCTCGTCTTGCAAGCTACACCTGTTGAATTCTTCTTTTGCACAACCCTTCACGGTGCAGGAACACCTGCCTGAACTCCTTTGTGGGGGTGGGGTAGGAAGAGTGGTCTGTGACGCGGGGTGAAACCCAGACCCTACAAAGTGAAAGGGTCAGACCCATCGTAGCTACCTGAGGAAGGCGAGGCAAAGCAGCCTGCGCGGAGCCTGCACTTCCCGCTAAGAGCCACTAGGGGGCACCAAAACGCGGGTCTCTCGCAGGGGGGAAGAGACCGCGAGAATAAGACGTTGGTAACCGCCCCCTCCGCATGACGCGGGGAACGCCGGCGCGCCCGATTGCGTCACAACCCGACCTCCCGCCGAGAGGCGGGAACCCGGAAGCGCCGTCTCACCCGGCCTCTCAACCCCGCCCCACGCACGTGACGCCGCACCCGACGGAAGCGCGCCTCACGTTCTGGACGCTGCGGCTCGGGAGGGACTGACTGGGCCTGCTGGCTGGCTGGCTCCCTGGGCGGCGGCGCGATGAGCGGGTCCGGCGAGCCAGCTGCGGAGGCCCCGGCAGCCACCGGAGCGGGAGTTCGGATCGTGGTGGAATACTGGTGAGAGAGAAAGGCGTCTCGGGAGGGCCTGGCCACGCCCACTTTACGCCCCGGCAGCCACGCCCTTCGCGCGCTCCTGGCCACGCCCTCCCTCTTTGAAAGACTCCGCGGTTGACTGCTTGGCCCCGCCCAGCTTCGATTTAGCCACGCCCTCCCGCGTTGCACTCTTTTCTTCCTCTGCGCTTCGCAGCGTTTGGGGGGGGGGGCGGGGAGCTGAAGTCCAGCAGTGCCGGGTTTACGTTTATAGCTTAGGGCTCCACTCTCTTGGGGGCCCCGAAAAAATGAAAGAAAAAAACTCCTTTGATTGTATTTCAGTTGCAACAATTACTTTGATAAAATACATATTTTGTTCTGTGTAAATGGCTTTAGAAACCTGTTAGGTCCATAAATTACCATATAGCATATATTCAACACGAAAAAAACAGTGACGATTTGTTGTTGACAAAGGACAGCTGGACATATAAAGGCCCCATTCAGTAGCTTAGGGCCTCATCAAACCTAAATCCGGCCCTGCCAGCAGCTCCTGGGGAGCCACGGTTGAAGGACTCCTCGCAACCAGAAGGACAAGGGCCTGCCCCGAGGAGCTTCCAGAGTGAGTGTTACACCTTTATGTGTCACACACCCCTTCCAAAAATTAAAAATCATAGAATTGGAAGGGACCACGAGGGTCATCTAGTCCAACCCCCAGCTGTGAAGGAGTCTTTTTGCCCAATATGGGGTTCCAACATGGAACCATGAGATTAAGAGTCTTATGCTCTCCTGACGGAGCTATCAACAGGCTGCCATTAGTCAGAATGAACTTCCTGGCAAACTTGAGGCTGCCCCTTCTGCTTACGGCGTTTCTGAGAGCCGTAGAGAACGCTTTCTCCCCCCAGACCAGCTCTAGGAAAAACCAAAGGGAGCCTTAAGTCAGGGGGGGCTGGTCCATTATGGAGAACAGGAGTACAGCCCACCAACCTCAGCCAGCCCTTTGTTAACCTGCTACTTGCCTGTCTTACAAACAGCCCAGGGTTGGCATGGCATGTCACCTTCATTGCCCTAAGCATCAATGTTACTTTTACATAACTTGGCCAGAAGGAAGGCTGGGGGACAAAGCTAGAATGGCTGGGTTCTGGCTGCACTTGGTCTAGTCTCACTGGCAGATCAATGTGTGGAGCCTGGGACGGGGCAGACAAGAGTGGACTAAGCTAGCAAGAGTAGGATGGCTCATGTAAACCAGTAGAAAAGCTTAGCCCAGTGCCTGGTGCTTCCAATGATGTCTAGACTGAGGGTGGGGTGACAGGGGCCAGTGGCAGAACCCTCAAGACAAGCAACAGGTAGCCTCCCCTCTTGGTTTGGGCTCACTGCCTTTGGATTTTACTTTTCCGGAGTTGTTGGGAAGAAGGAAGAAGCCTTGAAACTTCAGATCAGACTCCACCGCTGTACTTCATTCAGCACTGTTCTGTTACAAAGCCACACAACCAGGGATCCTGCAGAATGGGGGCCTGGATCAAGCTCTTTGTGCAAGTTTCTGCCTTTTTCAAAGGCCAGTCACATCTGAACAGGTGTTCCACTTCAGCACTGCCTTTAAACAAAAGCAGTCACATACAAATAGCAAATATTTTATCCCTCCCCCCCTCACTCCATTCACAAGTCCTCCTCTCCGTTCGTCGTTGCCATCTTCAGCTTCCATTTGACACCCTAACCAAATTTCTCTTCCTAGCAAACCTTGTGGCTTTGAGTCTGCCTACCTAGAGCTGGAAAATGCAGTAAAAGAGGAATTTCCTGACGTGGAGATCGAATCCCGACTTGGAGGGACAGGTATGTTCTCTGTGGAATGTTCTATGGTGACAGTAGCAGCAGTGAGCAAGGACCCCCATTCATAGTGTGATGAGGGTGAACACATCATTCAGAATTCCTGTGATTGTGTGGGATGTTAGCCTCATCAGCATGCTCAAAAATGCTCTAGAAATGGGTTGGGTCTGTTAGCATCGCTGGGTTCCAGTTGTGGAGGCAGCCATACAGATCTTGACAGGATCTGTCTCTTGACCCACCAGTTGAAGACCTGTGTCCTAGAATATAATCAAACCCCCCCCCCCCGTGGCTGCACATTAGCAAAGGAAGCTCAGTTGCAATGGGCACCAGCAGTAATTCAGATCCCTTTGTCAACCATTGCTAATCTTCTCATTGCATCTCAGGAACACAGTCTGAAGCTTCCTAGCCTATGGCCTCCCCTGGGAGTTGGGAGTTTTGTAACCAGAGAGAGTAGGGCAGTGTAAACACTATACCTTTAAAGCACATTTGAAGCATGTTTCCACACTCAAAGAATTCTGGGCACTGTAGTTTAGAGTTAAAATTCCCAGCAACCCTTAACAAACTGCAGTGCCTAGAATTATTTGAAGGGCGGAATGGTGCTTCAAATGTGCCTTAAAGGTGTAGTGTGTACGCAGCCCAAATGACAGGAGAGAGATGATGTGCCTTCTCTTTTCCCATGTGGATTGGGCTCACTTCCTAGTGTGCCATCTAGCAGAGGTGTAGCTGGGTGGGGTGGGATGGGCTATCTGGGTTTCTGCCCCGTGTTAAGCCTCCAGAGGGGTGCGATCGAAGCTCCCAGCCTCTGTGTGCATATGTATGTCTGTGCAAATACACGTGGTTTTGTTTTGTTTTGTTTTCCCAAACTGGGTCTTTGACCTGGGTGAAAAAGAGCCTAGTTTCGCCTCTGCCATCTTGGACCTTCTTGCTCTTCAAGCCACATGGCTTCTATGGGTTTGGTCTTTCCTTTGTGATATTTTGTCATCTTGATTTATTGCCAAATATCTGGGCAGTGAAATGGTGATGAGCAGTTGGTGTAAAGCTGGAGCTAAGTTTCTCGTGCTTTATTGTCACTCCCTTTTGTTTGCCCCCCATACAGGTGCTTTTGAAATAGAAATAAATGGGCAGCTGATCTTCTCCAAGCTTGAAAATGGAGGATTTCCCTTATGAGAAAGATGTAAGTCCCTCCCACCCCCTGCAGCAGTTCCAAGTCCATAGTTTGGGGAAGATGCTTCAGCCACTATGGTAACAGCTGCACCGGGCAGTGTTAGAAACTGAAATATGAAAGCTGGGAGCTAAATGGCACCTTAAACCTTGGTTATGGGCACAGCAACGGAATGTCTAGGCACGCTTTTTAATAACAAGAATACAAAGCTGAAATTGAATGAACTGCAGCTAAACTGTTATATTCATTTTTCACATGGTCTAGTCCTCATCTGAAGACTGCAAAAAACACAGCCATACTTCCCCTGCCCGCCCCCCTAATAGTCTTATGAGGGTTCCTTCTCCAGTCCTCAAAGTGGCTGGAAATAAAGAGGCAGAAAAATGTCCTTTTGTTCCAGCAATGGCAGTTTTGATGTGAAATCTCAGAAACTGCTTGCGTTAATGAAATTCCCTGTCACAAAACACACCTAGAACAATGGGAGTTTCGAACGCTGACACCGTGGGATTCCCTAGTGTCCAATATGCTGCCAGTTACCCTTTCCCCAAATGTACTGTATTGTACATGGAGTTTTTTGTACTCCAAAATGCAGGCAAGTTGCATTTCTCCATCCTAATCCAAGTAGTGGCAGCTTCTCCTAACATCTAGAAGATCTGTTACATCTTGAAGATGCTTGTTTTTGTTAAAAGACAGCTGCGCTCTTAGTCGGGCTCCCTTGGTCCAAAGATCTGTCACAGTTGTGGAGTATTATAAGTGGCGTTTCAAAATCTTAAAAGGCAGACAGCTCATTAAACTTAAATAGCTTTGTGTGCCGCCAAAAGTTCTGTATTGGTGCCTCTTTGAAATAAGTCACAGCTTAATAAAAATAAGCTTTTCTAACTTCTAGTTTTTTTTAGAAAATGAAGACAGCTTTAATATTTGATTAAAAAAAAATCATCCCCTAAAAGCAAAATAGCCTTGAAAAAGAAAACTAGCATGCTCTTAATTCTAGGCTTCACCAATTAAATAAATAGATCACTTAGGTCCATTAATCTCTTTGAGTCTACTCTGAGTAAAATTTAGTCGGAAACAACCCAGTGTTGATTCGTCAGCTGCTAAAGTGTACAGCGTTAGTTGCAAAAACTAACTTCCAATTTCTAGAGGTGAGCTTATGGGGAAGGAAGGAGGAGTGTGCGTATGGGTGTTTATGACTCTATGGTTATGTACTGCGGAACAGCTGGCACTTATTTTGAAATCGCATTCTCCTAGACTACCTTAAGAGGAAGTTGTTTCAACAGGTGGCTTTCATTCAATAACATATTCAGATCCTTTAGCTGCATATGAAGAATTCACACTTCCGGTTTTCTCCCTTCTCTTCTTGCAGCTCATTGAAGCCATCCGCAAGGCTGGCAACGGGGAGCCCCTTGAGAAGATCACCAAGAGCCGACCACCTTGTGTCATCCTTTAAGTCTCTCTTTTCTCTGGTCCAAACCTGCCCACCCACCCTTAAGTCTCGCTCTCCCTGCCTCCACCTCCTACTCTAGTTTAATTACCTTGGTAGGTGGAGAGAGGATGAAACACAGCAAGGTGATTTGGGTTGCTAACACACAAGAAGCCTTATAAGCAAGAACCTGAGCCAGTTTAAGGAGGTGAGGAGAACAAGGTGCTTGCTAAATTAATTTGGGCAGATCAGCCTTCCTGCTTGGGGAGCCTCTCCTGTTTTTAAAAAGACCAGAATGGATTTTGTCTTAATGTGACTGCTGCATTTCTGTCCTTATGTGTAACTGGTAAGGATGAAGCCCTCCCCCATCTCCTTTCAGAATTGGGTCATCTCTTCTGACCTTTAGTGGTTCATCCTGGGCCATCAGCTATCTTCCTCCTCCCAGGTCCCCATAACCCCCTTTAACTGAGAGCCAGGATGAGCTAGTATCTCGTCCTGCCCTCATTGAAATCTTATCTTATCCAGTCTGGATAGGGTTCATACTGTTGCAGCAAGCTCTGAAGGACCTCAGACACCTTCAAACTATAGTCTTGGGGACCAGTGTAGAAAGCTGCTCACTGTTCGCACAATATGTGGGAGAATTTCCACAACACTTCTGCAATTGTCCCCTTCTCTGTCTTGCACCACCGCCCAAGTGTGGGCTTGAAAGTGGAGGCTTGGCTTAGCTTGAAGCATTCATCTTTTGGTGTTAAGGTCTACCTGGTTGGCCAGTACAGTGGTGATGCAGAGCTTGTTCAAGTCCCACCCATTATCCATAGCAACCTGTACAACAGAGATTTGGGGCTTCTTTTATTACAGCAGCTATAAGGGCAGGGCAGGCACCTGCAGTGGAACAGATCTCCTCAAGCCAGACCAGATCTTTGTACAAAGGAGAAAATGACTACCTACCTGCCAGTTGCTTTAGCCTTTTTTCTCTTTTTGAAGGCTAGCATGAAACTCAGCATAGTTCAGAACAGGCTAGTGATACAGTGAGAACTTGCTTCTTCAAAGCTGTTTAGTCAATAGTTATAATTCTCTCTGCAGAACTGCAAGAACTTTTTTTAAAAAAAAACCACAACTAAACCATATACTCTCAAGCATTATCCAGCTATACAAGGAAGCATTTTCAAGATCTGTTGATTTCAGGATTGAAATACTTGCTTAATTCTCCTGCTGCAAACCCGTGGAACTTGAGATATTTAATTCTGGTTAGATTGCTCATATGAATGCACACATGCCTTTTTTAAAAAAACAAAACCCTGATCTCTTGCAGTTAGCATGCTTAGACCTGCATTTCCAGAATGTATATGATGGCCTGATTATGCTGTTAAGTTTCCCTGCCAGTGCGATATAGCAGCCAATGAAACAGAACAGGGGTAGGAAAGGTCTGGCATAATAGGCCACACATCTTGCTTTGCTAGGTGTGAAAGAGCTGCTGTGTAGTTATTGTCATGAATATCCATCTCATCTAGCTCAAATCTGAAATTCCACTTTCATGCCTCCACCCTGTTCCTAGGCTCTTGGGTTTTGTCACCCCGTTTTCACTTTTCTAATCTGTCAATTGGTGAATTTGGCACATCTGCCACGGTTGAAGTGCAAAGTGACACATAAGTGCTGCTGCTAAGAAGGGGGAGATCGGAGAACGCCAGTCATGCCTCCCACCACCTCCTGTTGTCTAGTTTACGTGCTGCAAACGTTGATGAATTTATGTTTGATCCAATTTATATAAAGGGAAAAAAGTTAAATGCTTGGGGTAAATTGTCTCCTTTTGTGTGTATGGAAGTTGTTCATTTTCTGTGCATGCTGTAAAGAGAATTGAGGGGCAGATGGGGCTCATCAACCTGGAAAGGTAGCCCATCTAGGAGAAGGAAAACTCTGGTCCTAAACCTCTGCCACCTTGAGGGACATCTTTGGAAGAAGAAAAGGCTAAGGAGTAAACCCTACACTAATCCAGTGTGGAGTCCCTAAGACGGCTAGATGGTGCCTTGTGTCTCCTTCCAGCAACTCCTGCAGCCAATTTGGTGCCAAACATTGCCCTGCTTTCCTTTGAATCACATCAGTGACATATTGGGGTGGGCATGTTGTGTCTTGTTGTCTGGGCATCCTATACACACTGCCCAGGTTTACACTCCAGGGAAGTCACCTCAGTGCTGCTAACACAGTGGTGTGACTTCGGCCTTGGAGGCGCACTCCAGGCAAGGCAGATACGCATAGTGTCTTTGTTGTTGTTTAGTTGTGTCCGACTCTTCGTGACCCCATGGACCAGAGCACGTTCTGGTCAAAATTGCCGGTGTTTTCGGACTAGCACAAAATTGCCAGTTCTCACACTTTGACCCAAAGTTTTAGGATGTTAGCCAAGGAGTTATTTGAGGGTGAGAAGTCAAGGGGGCAAGCTATTCTCAAAGGTCTGGCTCTCCTCTTCCGATGGTTAAGCCACCCGTTTCTAGCATTTTCTTCTGCGTAGGATAGTAAGGCATACACCAAATTTTTATGCCTGCAAGAGACCTGGGGGCATTTTAAAAGTGGAAACATTAGCTGAAGCCTTGAGACCTGGCAACCTTTTGCTGGGAATGACTTACAGCTGTGCAGTATACGTACAAGCAAACATGCTGACGCTCTTCTGTTCTGAGATTTTCCCAAAAGAACAAACTGTTCAGAGACCTACAGGGAAAAAGCAGCAGCACTGATAGCAACACATAAATTTAGGAATTCCAACATGTCGTGGGCTCAGCTGCCCTTGCTTTGGGGTTAAAGAGCCTAGAACAGAAAGCAAGCATGCGGTTTCTAAACTTTGACATGGGAGTGATCACTGCTGCAGAATGGTCTGGTGTTTGCCTTTGTAACTGATGGCCAGTCAGCTCACAATTTTGTCTGTTGCTGACCACTGCTCTATGGTATCCAGTTCTGTATATATACTTCTAAAAATACAGTCTTCAAAAGCAAACTCAGATCTACCCAGTCCTTACAAGGGGAAAGGCTTTGACTCTGGAAGGCACAATCTTTTTGAGACTTAAGATACTCTTCTCTTACATATTATATGGAGAGAAAAAATTCACTGAACTGTTGGAAAGAAAAAATCAATGGATGGCAAAAGGCAGGATGGGTAGCGGGGATTTTGGAACACAAAAAGTAGTCATCGGAATAAACTTCGAAAGCACATTTCAATATTGTGCATACATTGATTCTAAGACTGAATCTTCAAGGAATTTAGAACTTTCTGGCAAGGAACAAAATGGTAAAGGACACTGGGTCTGAACCAAACCCCGAGGCAGAAAATTTGAAGTGGGTGGGAGGTTGTGTCTTCCAGATTGTGCTGGACTATAACTCCCATCTTCCCTGACTGTTGGTCATGAAGGCTAGAGGACCACAGGTTCCTCACTCCTAATATAAATGAAACCGATATTCTCTTGCACAATACCTATTTATTGCAATATCTTGGGCTTCTACAAGAACTTCCCTTCAGACTGAACCCGTGATGGATCAGGTCTGTCTCTGCCCCTTAGTGGTACCAAAATGCCACCAGAGACTGCAACCTCACATTGGTGTATAAAAGGCCTGCCTCTAGGTCTCTGTTTCCCAACCTTGGGTCTTCAGGTGTTTTCAGACTACAACTCCCATCATCCCTAGTTATAGCAAGACCAGTGGTCAGGAATGATGGGAATTGTAGTCTGAAAACAGCTGGAGACCCAAGGTTGGGAAACACTGCTCTAGAGGAAGCCAATAACCTTAGGTTACCCCAATCAGGCCCACATCCTGGATTCAGCAGAATGCAATTTACCTCACTTAGGGGAGCTGAAATCCAACCATAAAATGCCCCCCAAACCCCCTGTATACCAAATTCACAAACTCCAATAATTACTCAAGACAAATCGTGTAGAAAATGAAAACCATTGTACAGTACAATTCTCAGATATACAAATACTTATGACACAACTGATTCTTTTAAAAGTCACCCACAGCAGAATACCTTCAATGTACCCACAAGCTGGAAAACACAGGTTTCAGAGAGAGAGAGAGATTGAACAGGGCAAGGGGTCGGGGCGGAACAAACTTTAGAAATGGCACAAGTCATTTCCCCACCTTCTCCCACACCACAAACCAAGTCTAAACGTGTTCCTTCAGTTGATGCTAACGGTAGCTCCCCTCACCTTTGTGCATGCAAGGAGGGGCAGCTCCAGAGGGCTTCTTCCTCAGGCAGTTTGCCCTGACTGAGATGGCTCCCTGGTTTCTTTGCAAAATTCATACTTCCACGTCCCTTGTGCTGTTAATTTTTTTCCCAAATTCTGCTTCCTGAGGAAGGATGGGGACTGACTGGCTGTAGGTACAGCAAACATTCCACATTGTTTTAGACAATAATTGAGTCCACCATCTTGACAAGACAGAAATGGAAGCAACGGAATAGGGAGCATTGGGCCCAAGCTTAGTGCCACTATAACCTAGTGCTGTCTGGATTATTTGGACTGTGACTCTCATCAGCTAAGCTCAACATGTAAGGAGACTGAGGAACACACCATTGTTCCTCCCATTGAGCTGGCTCAAGAAACTTTAGTAGGGGAAGCAGGAAATCCAAATAGCCTCTACAATACAGACATCATGCCTCTGAATACCAGTTTAATGGAAACCACAACTGGGGAGAATGTTGCTGTACTCATGTTGATTTGTGTGTTTCTCCCAAGTTGGCCCCTGTGAGAACAGGATGCTGGAGTAGTTGGGCCACTGGCCTGATCCAGCAGACACTTCTTATGTTCTTACCACATACTATCAATGTGTGCATGTGTCTTTGTTGAACATCCCCAGAGATGTTTCGCTCTACAAGACTTAACTGAAAGCCCATCTGCTGCAATGAGGTTTGTACAGGAGAACTTCCCAGTGAATTGTGCCAGTTGGATTTATCATCTCAATTTCTGCCGCCCTTAATGGCACCTGGAGCCAGACATTGAAGCAGCCGCTGTCACCTGTTTATTGGTAGGGCTGCCTCTATACCAGAAAGAGGCAGGGCACAGAAAACCAGTGAGGACTACAAAAAAGGTGATTGGTGCACTAGATCAAAGGCCAGTGGTAGCTTTTCTCACCACTCTTCATGAGAAGCCCCCTGTTGCATTTTCTTCTACATCCCAGCAGTCTTTGGCTGGCTGAGGTTAAAAGGACCATCCCGTCCTAGTTGCTTTCGGAAACCCTCCCAAAGTAATGAGCGATTGGTACGTGGCCAGATTCCAAAACCAAGGAACATTCAACAGAATTCTCCAGGCTAGGTATCCAAAAAGCAACATAACTGCAGGGGGGAGTGAGGAATGACAACAAAACATTTACAAGAGCTGGGAGCAAAGTGCAGTTTGATAAAAAAGTACAGTCCTCACAGATTAATTCACTGAGTACCATTGCCCTGCTTTAGGGCTTTGTGCATTGTTTCTCAGTCTGTATAAATTACAGGAATGGAGCAATTTTGCACCATTTCTCCCATTTTGCATAGTTATTCTGCATTTCTGATTGTCATGGACAGAAGAAGGAGCTGAGCGGAGTCCATCTCCCATCTCTGGAAACCTTAATTTAGACCCCTCTTGGGCTTCTGAGATTTCAGCAGGCATTGTCCACAGACTTTCAAGCACATATTAGCCAAGTTCTCTCTCTTAAAAAGCAAAAAGGAAGGAATATGGTTCTCGGGAAGCTAAATGGCTGCACCCATAGCTACACACTGCGGGTTTCCAGTTCTCCAATGTAATAGGAGGCATGCACCCAGCCCCACCCAGTGGTGTGAGGAACCTTTGGCCCACCAGATGTTGCTGAACAGCAACTCCTAGCAGCCCTAGCCGGCCCACCCAAGAGGCAAGGTGAGGCAACTGCCTCAGGTGGCAGATCCCAATATCAATCTTTATTCCCCCCGCCCTTGTTCCTGATGTAAATCTTCATTGATCCCTTCTTCCATGGTGGGGAGGGGAGTGAGCCATTTTGTGGTTCGTCTTAGGTGCCAAAATATATTGGGCCAGCACTGTCTAGCAGGCCTGGCCAATGGTCAGGGATGATGGGAGGTGTCGTTCAGCCATGTCTGGAGGGCCACAGGTTCCCCTACATGTTACATATTGGTTCTATGGGGCGACTTAACCTCTCTCCCCTCTGAAACAACATGCCACCTTAGCTTCTCTTTTTCCCTTTTCACCCATTGCCTCAGAACAGGGCCACAACAACCACCAGGGCATAAAATGTGGCGCTATACAAAAAGAGAGTTCAAAACATGGTGTTATTTCTTAGGGAAGCACTCCAAAATTATTCTCTCTCTTAATTAAGATGCTCAACTGTTCTCAGTTTGCCAAGCTGTCCAAGCCAAGAAATGAAGTTGGTTTTAGTTCCTCACCTGCGTCTTCTGGAATCTTCTTGAGAGGGCAAAGGGGTGGGAAGGAATGCCACAGGGGGCTCTCGCCACTAGGCAACATTGTTTTCTTCTTCCTCCCCAGACACCACCAAGATATTGTGTTTAAGGAACATCACAATTCCACACACACACACCCAGTTTACTCTGTTGTAAGGACGCAGGTGCCCCTGGCCCCGATCCGAAGGTCAAGGAAGCACATTCCCTTTTTACCACTGTCATTAAATGACCAATAACAGAAAACACACCACCGTTTTTATGCGACACCCATGCGTTGCCCTCATTTTTTACAACACACGATCTCATGGTTCTCCCCTTCCCACCCCATGTCAGTACCCTTAAGTTTGTTTTTTGAAAATGTACCTTAAACAAAAAAAAGTAGCGTTCCACCTCTTAGTTCTTTAGCCCAGTCAGTGGTCTGACCCTCTTTGTCTCGTATTTGAAGGGAGAAGAGGAGGGGGCAGAAGAGCAGCCCTTTTTTCCTGTATGTCAGGCACGTCCCAACTCCCAAGAGACTGCGATGTACTCCCAGTATAAAAAACTGGCAGTGATCTACCCACTGTCATTGCCAAGAGTTCTTGAGCTTTTTTGGGGAGAGGATTTCCCACAGTTTTTGAGTTTTTTGGGGGGGAGGATGCACCAGAGTTGTTGCACCCCAGCAATCGACCTGTTGTACATTCCTGCTGTATGTCAAATGACAGTTGGGCTGGGTTGCCCAAACTGCATGACAGCAGATTGTCACAAACAAAGTGCTTTCGCCCAACTGCCAGGACGAGAAGGAGCGGCCTACTAGGCCTCAAGAGGGCTGTGCTAAGGCCTCAGTGAATCCCGCTCATCTTGCATGCATTAATAGTTCGTTCGTTTGTGTCCTGAGCTGCCTAAATATCAAAAATAGTTTTCAGTGGTGACAGGGGTCCTCACGCAAAGTCCTTGGGGCGAGAAACCGACTCGGCTAGGCCTAGGTACTCCAGGTTCTCCGCCGTCGGCGTAGTGGCAGAGCCGGCAAAGAATTCTGCTGGGTTGCTCTTGGGAGTCTCCTGGTTCCAGTAATATAGATTGTCAAAGGCCTGAGGCAAAGGGCCGGCCAGAGGGAGGTTGCAGGGCGTCAGGTACTCTGGGTTTTCCACCACGTTGCTGAAGCTGCTGCTGTTATGGAAGGCGTTCTTTGGTTCCTTGATGAGCCCGTTCTTGCCCAAGTGACCCTTTGGCTTTTCTAGGGTGGATCCTGGCGGTCGAAGGCCTTTGCTGGATGGAAGGCTGTTTTCTGGCTGGTTCACATACTCTGCAGGGATAAGAGAAATGCAAAACAAATGGCCGAAACCAGGACGCAGTGACTTCCACCAACTTTCCACCCAAACTAACAGCAAACATGGCTTTTCGAGTCCTCAAATAAGACGCCACACTTGCTACGGGCAATCCACAGCCACAGGGGCTGGAAGCTTGTTTTTGAAACAAAACAAAACCACACCAAAACACTTTTCAAGATTCCCCAATTGAAATTTTTGCAAGGACATACATTACGAACAAGGCACATACCTGGCACCATACTGCAGGGCACAGGTGAATTGTAGTTCTTAGCTTCTGGGCTCTCGTTTTCATTAATCGAGGCACCAGTGGGATCTTCGCAGTAGCGCTGCAGAGTGCTTCCTGTATAGTCCCCTTCGAGCAAGTCAGGGATGACAGCCCCTGGCTCTTCCAAGAGAGGCGGGCCCAAATAGGGGTACTGAGCTGCTTGCTCGGGTTCATCCTCATCCATTGGAGTCTCTGTGGTACTCTGGAAAGTGGAAAAAACAGGTGTGCGCTTCAGCATTGCCTATGAACCACACATGCCAAGTAGAAACCTGATCGCCGAGGGTAAGTGTAAGCTGAGAGTTCAGGCTTAGGGACCATTTTGCAGACCTGGCCTGCAGGGAAGGAGATTTGAAATTCTGGGGATGGGGTGGCTAATCTTTCTTGGCTGAACTGCCACACTCAGGGTTCACAAGCCCTCTGATTTTGCCACCCCCCCAAAAAAAGCTAGGTGGTCTTGCTGGGCAGTATAAGGCAAAAGGTAAAGGACCCCTGGACGGTTAAGTCCAGTCAAAGGCGAAGATGGGGTTGTGGCACTCATCTCGCTTTCAGGCCGAGGGAGCCAGTGTTTGTCCGCAGACAGCTTTCCGGGTCATGTGGCCAGCATGACTAAACTGTTTCTGGCACAACGGAACACCATGACGGAAACCAGAGCGCACAAAACCGTCGTTTACCTTCCCACCACAGCGGTACCTATTTATCTCCTTGCACGTTGATGTGCTTTCAAACTGCTAGGTTGGCAGAAGCTGGGACAGAGAAACAGGAGTTCACCCCATTGAGGGGATTCGAACCGCCAACCTTCTGATCGGCAAACCCAAGAGGCTCAGTGGTTTAGACCACAGCACCACCCACTGTGTATACAGCCTGTAGGCTATGGGCTGGTCACCACCTCTCTCTTTTGCAAACTTATTGAAATATTCCATACAGGAGTTTCCAGCACATGCGCTTTACAGGAGAGAAGGGCATGCCCACTGGGAAATCCAGCCTGAGCAGGATACAAACTGGCTTTGTCTATTATCACCATAAACTGATAATAGCCACATGCTTACCCTGGTTGAGGGGATCCTAGAGCGATAGTCTGCAGATGCCTCGCCATTGAAAAAGCCCTGGTGGGGTACCAAGTACTCTTCGGCATCCACCAGATCTTGCATGTCTTCTTCCTCTAGCAAAGTGCGGTAGAAAGTGCTGTCTATGGGGCTGGCAAGACCCATTTTGTCATCGTTCTGCCAAGGAGGAACAACCAGAAATATTAATATGCATGCATGTTCTAATAGACAGCAATAAACGGCCTCGGCCCAGTATACCTGAAGGAGCGTCTCCACCCCCATCGTTCTGCCCGGACGCTGAGGTCCAGCGCCGAGGGCCTTCTGGCGGTTCCCTCATTGCGAGAAGCAAAGCTACAGGGAACCAGGCAGAGGGCCTTCTCGGTAGTGGCGCCCGCCGTGTGGAACGCCCTCCCATCAGATGTCAAAGCCATAAACAACTACCTGACATTTAGAAGACATCTTAAGGCAGCCCTGTTCAGGGAAGTTTTTAATGTGTGACATTTTAGTGTATTTTTGGTCTCTGTGGAAGCTGCCCAGAGTGGCTGGGGAAACCCAGCCAGATGGGCGGGGTACAAATAATAAATTATTATTATTATTATTATTATTAAGTATTTGTGGCTTTGAGAATTCCACGGCTCCTGCAGGAGGAGTGGGCTTAGGGTTTATCAAAGTAGTCCATATAGCATCTTCTCCGTAATTCTTACACAGTAGGTTAGTGGACACCTCAGTCAGTAAAGCATGACACTCTTAATTGTCGGGATTGGGGATTCAAGCCCCACAATGGGCAAAAGATCCCAGCATTGCAGGAGGTTGGACCAGATGATCCTCATAGTCCCTTTCAACTCTACAATTCCATCATTCTAACTCTAAAGGACTCAAACAAATGAGCCACACCATATGCTACAAGGGGGCAAAGAACGCCATACATAAAAAGCTATTTGTTAAGCTGGCTCGGGAGTAAAATTCCCTCCCCCAGATCAATCTGATCCCAGGCATGGAAGAGACGCTAATCCACCCAGGCCCAGTTAAAACAGGAGTCAGACAGTACGTGTTCAGAAGCCTCCCAATGACTGTGGCAGCAACAGCTATCAGGCTCAGCAATCACAGACATCATCAGCATCACCCCTCACTTTTGGCAATGCCTTGCTTCTCCTAGCAGTAGATTACACCAGCTGCCAGCAGAATCAACAAGGAAGGGCTGTTCCCTTCATGGCCTGTTTGTGGGCTTCCTGGAGGTATCTAGTTGAACACTGTTTTTGAGGCAGGAGGGTGGACTAGATAGGTTTGGTCTGTTCCGGCAAGGGACGTTTTACGTTCTTGTGTTTATTCCTTCCCTCCCACCACTTACCTGCAGCTGAATAAGATGCATAACGAAGGAAAATCCCTTATTAGAAAAGTTAACCAACAAACTTAAAACTAGCACAGGGACAAGCAAAGAGGACAACTTCATTCCAGTATGGTTCCCCTTTATCATATCACAGCACAACAGGACAATGACTTATTCCACCCCCTCCACAACAACATACAAATCAATATGGCTAACGTGACCCAACAACCGACCCCTGCCCCACCACACACATACAAACAAGGCACACTGCAACAAACTGAACACAACCAACCAGGCATCTCCAAACTCGGCCCTCCAGATGTTTTGGGACTACCAATTCCCATCATCCCTGACCACTTGTCCTGTTAGCTAGGGATGATGGGAGTTGTAGTCCCAAACCATCTGGAGGGCCGAGTTTGGGGATGCTGCCCTAACCTCCCTCTCTCTCTCTCTCTCTCTCTCTCTCTCTCTCTCTCTCTGTGTGTGTGTGTGTACACACACAAAGGATCTATCCACATGATGCTAACACTAGGCAATAGAATGAAATAACAACACACACACCCCAATTTTTCTCCCTCCCTCCCTCTTCCCCCAATTGAACTTTTCTCTGCTTATTTGTCCATTTTGTAACACAAGAAAATATTTCATAAAAGCTAATTTAACACAGTGGAGAAAAATCCCCTTTGAACACAGCCTAGGTCTTGGCAGGATGAAAGAGGCTTTCCCTACCACCACTCCTGGCTCACCTGGATGACCACGAAACGCTGCGGATCCCTGGCCATGCGCGTGAATTCAGTGACCAGTTCTCGGAACTTGGGCCTGCATTCTGAGTCGATCATCCAACCTGTGTGGCAAGCACAGCCAGCACTTGGAATGAATTAGTTCGGTTTAATCAAGTTCACTGAATTACTTAAAAAATTACCTAAGCTATCCCTGAAGGTAGCTCCCATAATTGACAGGTAAACTGAATATGAATTAATTTCATTTGGGGCTAGAACTCTGAATGATTTCTAGTTCATCTTCATTATCTTATATGTGTGCTTTTCTTTACTCTTTGGGCGCTTTGGGCCTTAAGATTAAACACCACAATTGTTGGGGGAAATAAATTAAACCATTCACATTTGACTTGTGTGTTTGGGTATTTTCTTAAGTGTATTTTATACTTCGGCACAGAAGCTTGTAATATTATGAAAAACAAACATGCCAAGGATCCATTGGGTGAGGTTGAATTGAACCGGCTCCTGAAGACAAACCGAACTAGTTCATTTTGTCAAGGGACAAATTGGAACTGGAACCAGCTCCTTTGTAAAATGAACTTTCAAGCTCTGAATACAAATGTTTAGCCAAAAGGTTCAAACTCCAGAAAATACAAGTTAAAGATGCAGACCTTCTTAGGAGGCACCATCAAGATTCTCCAAGAAAAGGGTATAGCTCAACTTGCTGGCACTCCACTTCCCTTTAAGGCAGTGTTTCCCAACCTTTTTTGGGGCAAAGGCACACTTGTTTCATGAAAAAAATCTCGAGGCACACCACCATGCCAGATGGGGAAGGTCACTTTTTACTTATGTAAAAAAAAATAAAAAAATAGTAACAGCATAGAAGGTAATGGTTATCTCTTTGATGTCTGATGGAAGGGCATTCCACAGGGCGGGCGCCACTACCGAGAAGGCCCTCTGCTGGTTCCCTGTAACCTCACTTTTCACAGTGAGGAATTGCCAGAAGGCCCTTGGCACTGGATCTCAGTGTCTGGGCTGAACGATGGTGGCGGAGACGCTACTTCAGGTATACTGGACCGAAACCGCTTAGGGCTTTAAAGGTCAGCACCAACACTTTGAATTGTGCTCGGAAAGGTACTGGGAGCCAATGTAGGTCTTTCAAGACTGTCGTTACGTGGTCTCGGCGGCAGGTAGCAGCGCTCACAGCTTACGGACTGCACCGTGTAACAGGTGTCTGGCCCAGAGCCTAAGGCGGACAAGCCACTGAAACAGGGCATTCAGAATCCATTCATTTTCATAAAACCTGCAGGGCTCAATCTCTGTGTTGTGTATGTGGTGTTTCTGTTTTGCCCAAGGGTCTGGGGGTGGAGAGAGCTCTTTAGCATGATGCTTTTAAACAATTAAATTATCAACAAACAAAACCTGATGATACGAATAGCAACGTCAGTGCTTGGGGGGGGGAGAAGGGGGCCTACTCAGAAGCAAATACTGCGTCCAGGCGCAATTAGCGCTGATTTAAGGTGCACCAAGATTGCCTAAAAACCTCACCAAAGATATGCAACAAAGTGCTTCGTTGCAGAGGGGAGAGTTTGTGCACCGTGGAGGCTGGAGGGCTTCTATTCTACATGCGGGGGTTGGGGGCGAGGAAAATGTGCTCCGTGGTGGGCGGGGAAGGCAAAGTTTGCAAAAGCGCCCTGCTCCTTCTTCCGCGGAGGGAAACGCTCCTGCGGAGGCGAGAGGCAGCGAGGAGGCGACGAGGTGAGGCTTTTGTGAGGTAGGGAGAGGAAAGACGGGGGAGGGAACCCAAGGAGGATTTGCACGAGAGGGAATGAAGGGGAAACGCGCCTCCCACGTGGAGCACTTTTCCCCGGGAAATGCACGGGGTGGGGTCGTGGCTGATCCGTGCTGCGCGCTCGCGTCGTGCGGCCCAAAGTGCTGCAGGATCGCCAATGCAAGACCCCCTTTTAAAACCTCCCCCTCCCCCAGCTCTGGAAAAAAAGGGGGAAGGGGATGGCGTCGGCGTGCGGAGGCTGCCCGTGCCCGGCCAGGCGTCGGTGGCGGTGTCAGCGCTGCTGCAGTGGCTGCTCCTCCTGCGAGCAGTGAGTGGAGCGCAGCCGCAGCGGCGGCGGGGGGCGCGCGCGCGCTAGGGCGCAAGGCTGGCGGTGGCGGCGGGGAGCCCGGCGGAGGAAGGAACTTGTCCCTTCCCTCTGGACTCGCGCCCCCCGCAGATGTTGCGCCCGGTGCGACTGGCACCCCTGGCACCCCCCACGCTACGCCACTACTCCCACGGCACACTAGGCAACGTCCGGCGGCACACTAGTGTGCCGCGGAACACCGGTTGGGAAACACTGCTTTAAGGCAATGGTTCTCAACCTGTGGGTCCCCAGATGTTTTGGACTACAACTCCCATCATCCCTGAGCTCTGCCCTTGCTAGCTAGGAATGAGGAGTTGTAGTTCAACAACATTGGGGACCCACTGGTTGAGAAGGGCTGCTTTAAGGGCTATGGGGTGCCAGCGACAACAAAAGGCTACAGTAACCAAGGGCCTTGCCCCTATATTTCATTGCAACCCTTTTTCCTTTCACCTCTAGCTTCTTACATTTCACCATGATCATGTAGACATCAATGGTGCAGATGGGAGGCTGTGGTAACCTCTCTCCTTTCTCCAGAAGGTCAGGGATCTCTCGGGCGGGGATTCCATCATACGGCTTGGCTCCAAAAGTCATCAGCTCCCACACAGTCACACCTGGAGAGACAGGTAAGGGAGTCCCGTCAAGCGCCAGCCGGCGTCTCGCCGCAGGAACGAACAGGAGGGTCCCCACCAGCCCCCACTTACCATAGCTCCACACGTCGCTTTGGTGTGTGAAACGCCTGCGCAAGATGGACTCCAGGGCCATCCATTTGATAGGTACCTGGGCAAGGCAAATGGCACAAAGTTGACCACTGTGGCGTCAAACCATCCCTCTTGTGGGCTGGTTCCAAGCAGCAGCTGTGTGTGTGTTTGTGTGGGGCAGGAGAACAGGCTTATGGGCCTAGTTCTTAGGGAGCTAGTCAATCTGCGCCTGGGCCGTACCACCACAAGAGGGCAAGCCCAGGGACACAGGATGGAATCCCCCTTCACAGAGAACACGCTCCCTGTACAGTGGTACCTCAGGTTAAGTACTTAATTCATTCCGGAGGTCCGTACTTAACCTGAAGCTGTTCTTAACCTGAAGCACCACTTTAGCTAATGGGGCCTCAGAAGATGATCATAAATACCAGATTGGGATCTTTCCGAGGCTTCTGCCTTTAATATGACCTGATGCAGGCATATTCAGACGCACAAAGTCATGCAAAACCTAGTATCTAGGGGTTGGGGAAGAGCACTGAGGATCTGGATGTGCATTGTCACACAAATGTACATTTGACCTCTATCACTGACCTCTGTGGGTATTGCAGATATAAGGGAATGTTCAGGGATTATTTTTTCCCAGCCAGAACTCACCAGATCTCAGTTCTGGCACCTCTTAGGTGGGTGCCATTGCAAGAAAACAAGGGAGGCGTTCATGGTGAGTTCTGGCACCTCTTTTTCTAGAAAAATGGCACTGCAAATGTGCATGCCAATGCAGGAATCTGAGCTTACGTTTTCTAATGGTGCATAATAAGTATTTCCATCTCTGGATGTTTCCAAAGAATTACTGGGACTCAAAATTAATAGCCTCACATGGAAAGATCTGTTATAGTTTAATTAGTTATAAGACTTTTGTGCTGAGGCTCAGAGAAGGAAATAGCATTTTTTTTTAAAAAAAGTTATAAATAATACCATTTTCATGCTCAAATGTTAAATGCTATCCATTTATTTTTTATTTTAAAAAAGCTTCCTATGCCTCTGGAACAGCTCAAGCTTCTCAGACTTCTGAGGGCGAGAACGCCATGGATTTCTTCTCTCTGGCAGTTTTATGCATTTGAATGTTTGCTATTTCTGTTATGAATCTGATACTTTCTCTCTTTGCATGACTTATTTAAAATGATTGCCATTTGTTGACAACAGCTCTACTGTATTATCTGCTAGCTCCTACGGTATCTTGAGGATATCGAATTTCATTTTAGAAGAGGAAAAGCTTAATTTATAGGAAACCTTGAAAATATATGAGCAGCTTTTGTGAAGGTTTTAATTTAATAACAGTCAAAGGATCTGACAAAGTTCTATTCAGAGTAAGCAAAGGGAAAGTCTTCTCTATGGACTGGAGGAAAGTCATAATTCAGCCCACCACTCTCTTCCCTCCTGATTTTTATATAGCTATTATTCCAAAATCCCATTAAAAACCACAAATATTTGTAGAACACATTGCAACCAAATCATCTTAGACTACTATGGGCACTCTTCATGTAGATACAGGTTCCCTCATGCAGATCAGCTGAACTGGCTCTCCAGCATCTCCAATGGGTAGGTAGCAAGGTGGCAAAAATAGGATTGCCACAAAATAGGATAGCCATTCAGAGTGGCCAGGGAAACCCAGCCAGATGGGCGGGATATAAATAATAAAATGTATTATTATTTTCCCTAACAGAGCTGAGCCTTTAATAGCTGTGCAACAGGCAGATATTCAACAGGTGAATTTCCCCCCACATTGCATTTCCTTGTTCCTGAATACCAAACATACCGAACTTCAGTATTTTTAGTTAACTGTCTTGACAGGAGAAGCTTGTAACCTACAGGGAGGCAAGTGGGTAGAGAGAATAGCAACAACTACAACCCCATTGCACACCATGTGGTTTCATATGCAACACTCTTTTGGGTAGCACAACAAAGTTTTTGGGTTTGTTTTTTAACCTATGTTCCTAGTTGCCTAGATTGGGGCACAAGGCTTTTTGGGGGCAGAAGATGCCAGTACTGAATTAGATTTAATATCAGCCAGATGGATCTTAAAATTTCAAAAGTGAAAACAACTGCCGGGGTTGGTTCTGACTAGATTCCAATTAAAATCCAATTAGAATTCAATTACGATCTAGTTTGTAAGCAGTAGCAGCACTGAATAGACTGCAAGCCCATGACTAATGCATCATACTTCATTAGAGTCATCACTCCTTCAACTAATAAAAATCTATAGTAAGGATCTACAGCAGCATGGCATCTATTAGCAGCATAGATAACATTCAATAATTTGCTTTAAATCATTGTAAAAACCTAATCCCACAGGTCACAACCAAAAAACAAGGGCTAGATTCAGACAAGTTAAAACATTTAAGGTCACAATCGATTCCAATGCAGAGGGAGTAATTACATTTTTAGCGCAGCCATTTAGCAGTACAATCCTTCATCACTCCTCAAGCTGTATTAAGTTCAATGGGATTACTTCCATGTAAGTGTCAGGATTGCTGCCAACAATTCTTAACTTTGCCTGGATCATGGCCATTGTTATTTTCAGTGTGGTTGAGAAAATCGCCCTTGGCATTAGACTTCAAGCTGAATTGAGATGTTGAAATTGTCAGCTTATCACTTCCCATATAAGCTAGAATTAACATTTTAACTTCTTCCATAATGCAATCATTTGCAAAGCTTCTGCCTTCAGGAACTATTTCTGTGTCAGTTGGAGACCAGGGAATCTGTGGTTGCAGAAGATTGTGTGCCATGTCTCTAACGGTGCTCAGGTTC